AAGGCCCAGGCCTTTTGTGAGGATCTATTTGCAAACATCCCTCTCTTTTCTCATGGACCTTTCTCTTATCAGTTATAAATATTCTTCACCAGCACCCTAAACCCAGAAAGACCAAGATAAGTAAGGTTCAAAAATATCAATGGTTATTTTTTATAATGGAGTTCAAGAGGTGGGGGAGGATATTGACCCCCTCAAGACTGACCAGATTGGACAATCCTAAAGAGACAGAGGCACTGACTTAATGGAGAAAATGTCAGCTAACTCCCTCCCCGCCCCCACCCCAAGAGACTAGGAACATCAGTGGCATCTTCCAAAGAAGAAGCAAGTCCCTCTTCTTTCTTATGGGTACGACTACTCTCATGGAGCAGATGGACTTCACAAAGGCAAGGTCTAAGTCAAGCCAATCAGAATGGGTGACTGTCCTACTGGGCTGACAGCTCCCACCACACCCTTCTGCAGGAAAGGCCAGTGCGCCCCTCTTGCTCTTCAAGAACAGAGCAGTGGGTCCTTAAAGACTAACATTTTGCCACACCACATACACAGCAACATATTGGACCCCATGGTACATATGCGACCAAGTTTGAAAGGATCCCTCTGAGAGCATGTGCATAACAGGCACCCAAACCAGACTGTAATCTGCTCTCTTCTCCAAAAGGCATCAATTTCTCTTTTACAACTAAACAGAGCATCATCTCAGGGAAAACGTACCTTCACACTTAGGTCTGTTTTGAAAAGAAGAAATTAAAAGGAAAAAGCAACTGGAAGGGGTGTGAGTACATGGGAGATGAAGAGAGGAGAGGAACACAGGACAAAGGAGAAGGCAGGCAGGGATGGGGAGGGGAGGGGAGGGCACAGGTGTGGCAGACATGCAGGTTTGCTGTCTCCAAAAACACATTCATCCCACTAAGGTAGCGAACGAAGAAAACATTTTGATTTTCTTTTCTGGCAGTCGAAGCATAAATGGTTGCTGCAGTAATACCAGAAATTATTGGTCATTTTGAGCATTCTTGCTAGTGAGAAGCCAACATTCCAGCCAATGTGAAATACTGGCCCCAAGGTGTCCTAGATATTTTGTTTTTCAAATGCAGGAATGTCAGCTGCTGGACAAAAAGTGATGTATACTGTCTAGTAGGCAGCATGCTGGCCAAACACCAAATTTGGAATGTGTCTCCTGGTCCCCCTGGGTTCCAGCTCAGCCATCCTCTGCAGCCAGTGACACGCCCAGAACAAGAATTCTGCCCAGGAAAGAGCAAGAATGCAAACGGTATTTGAACAAAACTGAGTTCTAAGCCATCACCTCTACAAATGTTTCAGGAAGCTAGCCCAAAGCCAAGGCAAGTTGGAGCTCAGTGGGTCTCTTCTTAAGGAAGTTGATTACTTCTAATTCCCTTCTAGTTAAGGCCTGTCTGAAGGGAGCCTAGAAAGCCCCCCAAATTGAATGTGGCCAAGCATCATATTTCATGAGCTTTTAAATAAGGTCTTCTCAAATACATAAAATGGCATAACCACTCTAACTTTAATCACATGCTTATGAAAGAAAACAGCATTATGAGTTGACAAATTGGTAAGGCATATATTTTGTCCATATGGATTTTTAAAGTGTACCTATGACATCAGATGAAGCCTACAGAGACCCTTCATTTTTAAAATTATTTTAGTGAGGTATAATTAACTTGCAATGTTATGTTAGTTTCAGGTTACAACATACCGATACAACAATTCTGTATGTTACTCAGTGCTCACCACACTAAGTGTCATCACCATTTATTGCCACACAACATTATTACAATATTATTGACCAAATTCCCTATGTTGTGCTTTCCATCTTTGTGACTTTTTTATTTTATAATTGGAAGTTTGTATCTCTTAATCCCCTTTATGTATTCCATCCATCTTTCCACCTAGGATCCCCCACATTAAACCAAATAGCAACTCACAAACATCCCAGCCTAACTTGCAGGTCCTAACCTTGACCATGAGGCAGCATCACCACTGTCCCCAGCATGCATGGTGGAGGCACTCACTCTGCCTGGAGCATCACTGTTCTATACACTGTGCATTTTCCCATAACACCACTACAGAATTCTCCATGGAAGAGACCCTTAGAATTTTCCTATCATTTGGAGGAACTCCTGTAATCTGTATGAGGATAATCATAATAGAAGAGACAGCTGCCAACATGAAAAAGGCATGCGTCCCAGCTCCTTTCTGTGCATGCCACTTTGCTAACCATTCACTGTCTCCCCTCTCTCACAGGAAGGGTTACTACCTGTTATTCATTCACAGGAATGTTACTACATGTCATTCATAGCCTGCCCAGACAAAATGGAAACAGCACATACATATCTTCCATGTGTGTAAATCACCAGAATCCTTACACTAAACAAGAGGTGACCTGTGGGGGAGGGGAAACGGAGAGAACACTATGAATGTTTCTAGCCTAGAACCTGCTTCCAAGAACGGTGTTGCAACAGTGAAGCAGACGTAGAAAACTGGTGTGAATTGATAAAACAGCAGTTTATCCACTCTCTCCACTGCTACTGAGCGATGTTCTGTGGTCCCAAAGTTCTTTTCTAAACCTGTGATTGACTTCATAATTGATAAGCATTTGTAACATAGTGCTTCTTCCTTTAAGCAGGTGGAGCGGATGAAATGTCCTAGTAACATATAGTAGTCCTACGTCCCTCTCCAAATACTTTGGTGTTCTTCACATTAAAATTTGGCCTCTTTGGAAAATACATTAAATGTAAAGCCCATAGAACACAGAAGACACAAGAAACTGGTAAAATGGTCACATGAAACCGTGATGTTGGACTCCATGACTCCACACAGACATGGGCCACTTTGATGTGCCTTTCATTATATAAATTATCTGCTATTTAAACATTATTCTTTATATCACAAACACAAAATATATATGCTCAGAGAATAAAAGAATAGGTAGGCAATCCATAGTTATGCATTATGAGTACAAATTACTGAACTGAGTTATTTTTTCTAATAACGAGTTTTCAGAGAAATATTTTCTAAAAATAGTGTCATCAATATGAAACAAAGAGCTAATAAAAGGAGGGCAAAATAAGTAGCACAAGCAGTTCCAAGCTTAACCAACAAAATAATAATGTTTAAAAGAATGAGGCATCATACTCCCTCCCTGAAGTCATAGTCTGTTAACTTACAAGTAGCACTAGCAACAACTTGGTGTCATAGAACAATTTACAGCATAAATTCAAAATGAGCAATAAGAATTTGGGCACACTCTATAGCCTAATAACTATTTCTAAAGCTCCTAGCTTCATTTTTTTCATTTATTTTCATAATAATTGACTAAATGAGAAACACTAATTCATGTCATACTAAGTTTATTTCTAATCAAGATTAGCATTAGGTGTCTGATCAACATAGCCCTCGTCTTCTATAAGGAACCAGAAAAAGAATATAGTGTTTGAACAAAAGTAGCTAACTACTGTAGTTTTACATCCAAAAGTCCAGCTCTCCACATGCAATGTACAGAATTTACAATTGCCACCTCTTGCATATTATAATATTAAAAGCATACCAAGCAATGAAAATATTATAACTTATTTAAAAACACATAACTGCCCTCCAAATAGCTCTTCTCAAAACTCTATATAGAATGGGTGGCAAATATCCAGTTTTTTCAACTCATGTAGAAATACAATAGTAATAATATAGGCTCAAGTGGATTATGTTCTTAATTTATCCAGTTGGGATGCTTTAAGTCTAAAATAGGCAACTAATCTCCAATTTTTATTTCCTATCATACTGTGTTGTCCCAGACACATAAAACAGTACTGTCTAGAAGGGTAGAGAAAAAAAATGCTAACATTGTGTCAGGATGCCCATGAACCTTCACATTAAAACAATAACAATATTCCCTCAAACACATATTCACCACCACCTCTTAATGATTTTGGCCCACATAGCAGGAGAGTTTAGATTTAGTACAGGTCAAGGTAGCATACAGCTTTTCAGCTGTATTCGTGAAAGAACACAGAGAAACTATCCCAGACTCCTCAGTGGGCTCATGCTAATTAGACCTTTAACAATTTTCTTGATTCCAAGGTATGATTTCCTTTTTGTCACTGCTAACAGTAACTAAGGAAATCTTGCCCAATAAGCACTACAGATAATATGCTAAAGAAAAATAATCCCAGCATAAAATGCAATAGAAATAATTGGTACAGAAGTTAAATAAAGAATATTGCTTCCTCAATTTTAGTAATATTGTTGGTTGTGACCAGAATGAAGTTACCTAAGCAACCACTCTAAAGCACACACAATATTCAAATGCATCTGTATTATGGTAGCTCGGTGTCTAGAAGTTTGTTGCTGATAGCATTGGTATAAAATAACCATCAGATCAGTTTGTGAGGGAAAAAAAAAACTCTGAATATAAAGATTTAATCGTCATATGGCACTAAAATACCCATAAACAAAATCATAAAAATAACCCAAAGTAAAAATTTAGGCTAAGACAAAAAAAAAAAAAGAATTGTTTAGTCACAAGAGTCACAAGTACAAGTAATCTTTAATAAACCAACCATAGATTCCAGGCACATTCACTTTTGTCACAGAGCTGCAAAGTGTATAACGTGTTATACATTTACATAATCCTTACAAAACAAATGCTAGGGGGAGTATATGAAAAAGCGTCTAAAAACTATTATGGATGTTATAAAATCACATGTATAACAAAATATGTGGGATGCCCAAACTTGCTGATATTGCTGATTGCAGATTAATCTATGTGAAATCAGCAGGGAAAGGAGCGGGCACAGTAAGGCTGGCCTCATTTACTTCACTGTGTCTCTACACAGTGAGAACACCAGATTATCTTCAAGTACAGTGTGCAGCATTTGGCAATTTGGGAAATCCACGGGGCCACAAAATTGATATACACTCTCCGCCGGGTGGGGGGGCGGGAATCAAGGAAGCCAAAACTTTCCCTTTCTCCAAGAAAGTGAAGAAATTCTTACCTTTCTGTACACCAGCATGTTGGGTGATTCGTCTGCCACCCCGTTGCTAGTCTGCCCGTAATTATTCCCCTGGGCCATGTCACCCCACACTTGGTCCGCTCTCAGATACTGGAATTATCGGTCTGCGCGCTGCAAAGCGTTAGGGAGACTTCAGTCAGGTGCGAACGGCGGTGCTCAAGGGGGGGGGGGTGACTTGAAGCCTCTTCATAATCCACAGCACCCACCCCACATGGCGCATACTTACATGTCGGGGCTGGCTGGAGGAAGCGGCACAGAAATCGATTTAAAAAAAAAAAGAAGAAGAAGACTGAATTTACACCTAGAGTACCCTCAGGGAGTTTTAAGAAATGACAATCTTTTAGTTAGAATATTCATTTGGCTATGGTTTTAACTGACTTGATCTTCTGGATACTCATTGTAAAAAGTGTTTGATGCTCCCCTAAAAAACCCACCGTCACCATTTCTGCGCTCCAGAGTTCTCTTGTCTCCCAATACTTGCATCTCGACTTGATGATGTTTTCCCAAAAGGGCGGAAAGGCAGCACCCTGTGGCAGCACACTCTCTCCCAGGTATCTGGCTACTTTGCCCACTGGCAGCGCCTGAGACAGGCCCATTCCGGCGGCATTCTCCCTTCACTCCCCCGGGTCTCCCACACGGAGCCGGAGGAGCTTCGCCCACTTCCACCTGCCCGCCACTGGGTCCCCCCTCCGCTCCACTCCACTTCGGAAGTCAGGACGGAACCCTGCCCAGTCTTTGCCAGAAGGCACCAGAATCCGTCCCGGCCAAAGGAGCTGATGGGAGTCGACCCTTCGGGTAACCACCTGGGTCGCCGTGGGTAGCAGTCTGGCTGCAGGAACCTGAGAGCAACCAGCCCAAGAGGAGCAAACCAGCGAGCCCCAGCTCCCGCCGCCGGGCTCTCCCCGCGGTTCAAATGGCAGCAGTTTCAGCACCGCGGACCTGGACGAGCGCGGCGCCCGCAACCCGGCCGGGGCGCGGGGCTCCCCCGGCGGCCGCGCGGCAGGGCGCCGGGCGAGGGTGGGTGCGGGGCGGGGGAGCGCGAGGTGGCGCCGCCTACCCCCCCTCCCACCACCCCTTATTTACCTCTTCGGCCAAGGTCACGGCCCCGCGGCGTCTGCCCTCGCGGGCGGGCTGGGTGCCGGCGCTGTCAGCTGGCGGCAAGCGGAGCAGCGAGGCAGAGCAGCCTCATCACACTCGGCGGATGATGCGGAACCGCGCGGCTCAGGCGACCGCCGCCGTGCACAGGCGGCCCCGGCAGCCCGCCGCTCGCGCCCGCTCCCACCCCCCCCTCCCCGCCGCCTGGCCGGCCCGCTCCCTCCGCCGCCTCTGCTCCCGGGCACGGGGACCCGCCGAGCGCGCGCGGGAGGCGAGACGCCGGCCCGTGCGCGCGACTGGGAGGCGGGAGGAGGGGCGGTCACGTGGGCCGGGCGGCCAGGGGTGCTGGCTCCTGGGCGCCCAGCTCCGAGCGGCCGGCCACCCGGCCGGCCCACCGGCCGCCCTCGCGCCCCGGCCCCCGCGGGCGCACAGCCTGCCCCGCCGCGGGTGTCCGCGCCGCGGGCGGCCTGGGGGCCCGAGCTGGGCGGCGAGCGCCAGCCGGAAGGGCAGGGCGGGCGGGCGGATGGAGGGACGGAGGGATGGAGGGAGCCCCGCGCAGCCGGCGCGTTTCATCACGTGCCTGCTGACTCCGCTGACAGGGCGAGGGCAGCAGATGATTGATTATCCCTGTGCTTAAATGACGAGAGTAGAGAGATACTGAGAAGTCCCAGGAGTGAAGGAAATGGCCAGGACCAATTGAGCCACTCAGCCCGTTGCCTGCGGCTTTCACAGCTTCCTCCTAAGTTTGAATGGGAACCGATTTGGAGGCTGCCAACTCGAGCTGGAAACCTTGCCACCTGTGAAACCGAAGGGCCATCCCCGCTGCACGCTGCCTCCTTGGAAGGGAGGTGCTCTCACCCTATCGCAGGTTTCAAAGAGGGCCTGGGGTGCCGATTCCCCGGAATTAGTCTTCAAGTCGCTGTCGCGAATTCCTCTGTAAGGATTACAACGACAGGAAGAAGAAAAATCACTGTTGTCCCAATTACAGTAAAGAAACTTGTGTCTCTGGCTTTCCGGGGCGGATTTGGGAAGCTTTAAATACCTGAAGTTCTCTTTCCTCAGCTGGGCCAGGTGTGGTGGAGAAACAGAAGATAGCCCCTTCCTAATCCCCTAGGTCCAAATAGAATAGAAGTTACCCCTGGTAGGGACGACGAGCACACCCAGAGCCACGTGGTCCAATGCATTTCCCCAGTCCCCCCCGGGGCAGGCAGGTTTCACCCAAGGAACAAAGAGGTATCTAACCTATCCTCTGTTCTAAATACTACAGGGCAAAGGTTACTATCCCAACTGCTTTACACACACCCTAGTCTGACCCATCTCCCAATGCTCCCCAGTTCCCAAAAATTTCTGCATTGTGTGCTCTGGAAATTATGCTGTTTTTCACCAAAGCTGCCATTTTTAAAAATCCTTCTCTACTATTTCCTTAACGTTCTTGCTGTAGTCAGACCTACCTTTTCCCCTTCAGCCCCTCTCTCTTCCCCTTTGCTCAGTCTACTTCTGGGAACTTGACATGAATGGAATTAATACATTTGGAAAGAATAACTGGGCATGCTCCCTCAGCTTGACCATTTTTCCTCTTAAGGAGGAACTGCCTGAATGAAGGAAGCAGGTTTCCTCCTTTGCATCACTAGACAAAGGTTCTAACCCCCTTGGGGGCCCTGCCCATGGGCTCAGCACTGATGGATCATTCTCATCAATGAGCAAACTAACAGATAGATTAGAGCCAACTGTATATATTTTATACACAGGGTGTAAAATACACCCCAGCTTCATGGGACCCCATCCATCTATCCATCCATCATATAGATCTATGTATATCTATATCAACATATATAAAATCTTGCATAAGGTATCTATATGTAGATGTAGCTATGTATAAAATCTCCCTTGACACTCTTTCCACTTATTCCTGCCCTATTTTTTTTGGCTTCCTTTGGCACCAAGAACTTCCTCTCCTTTTATTTTGTCTTGAGCCCATTCTATTCTGTCAACAACCTCCATGTTACTAAACGAATAGTGAATTCTCAATTATCATACTGAATGCCTTTTCAGCAGAAGTTAAAGTTTATCTCTTTCACATTCTCAAAAACGTTCTACATTTGTCTGCTGGGACACCACTGTCTATTATTTCTCCTCTGCATTACTGGTTGCTATTTCTCAGGCTATTACTTGCTCTTCTTTACCTTCTTCATCCCTAAATTTTGGAATTTCTCGGATCTCAGTCTTTGGGCCTCTTCTCCTCTCAATTTATATGTACTCGCTACATGAGCTAAGTCAGACTCCTACCTTTAAATGCTACTAATAACTTTCAAATGTATATGTAGGTCCATGCTCTGAAATCCAGTCAGTCAAGCACCTACCTAATTAACATCTCTACTTGGATATCTAACTGGTGTCTGATTCAGCTTCATGATAACAACGATATTGTCCGTTTAAGATTTTATTTTTATGTATTTGAGAGAGAACGAGAGAGAGAGAGAGAAAGACAGAGGGAGAGCATGAGCAGGGGGAGGGGCAGAGGGAGAAGCAGACTCCCCGCTGAGCAGGGAGCCCAGACTGACTGACGCAGGGCCGATCCCAGGACCCTGGGACCATGACCTGAGCCAAAGGCAGACGCTTGGCCGACTGAGCCACCCAGACACCCCGGATATTGTCTGTTTAGCTCATGCCATATATCCCAGGCATAGTACAGTTTCTAGCCCACAGTAGATGCATGTTAACTAAATGAATCAATGTATCTAATGACAATAATCTGATACATAATTTTTATATTTAGTAATACATTGTTTACATTATTATCTCATTTAACCCTCTAAAGACCTAGTTATAATTGTCATATATTTTACATCACTACACCAATAAGGAAGGGAAGGATCAGAAATATTAAGGAAACTGCCCCATACAACCACTAATAACTGCCCCATATAACCACTAAGTGGCTGTGGTAGTTTGTACTGCGTCAACTTGATTAGCTGGAACTACATTTCCCAGCATCCCCTTCCCTGTATTCAAGTGAGTAGAGGAATTTGTGCAAGATTGGGAAAACAGAGTAAGACAGCACCTATTCCTCTCTGGAGGTCTTTGCAGTTTTGTGTGTTGGCACGTGCTGAGTCCCAGAAGGTTCTCGCATGTCCTTGTTCTCCCTCACTTCACATTCATATTGTCCAAATTCTTTCCCCTCCTGAGCAAAAATAGCCCCACACACTTCACAAAAGTCTGAACGTGGACCTACAGAGGCAGCAGCCGCACAAAGACCACAAATTTTCATTGACTTTTCTGCCAGGCCCACTTCATGGTCTCCCTCCTGCACCTGGCCACGCCTCGCCCCCCAAGCTTCCCTGGTAAGCTTCAACTTGCCCATCCACTTGCCTAAGACCCCAGAGGGGGTTAGTTGTGTCTTTTCTCAGATCTTTCAATTCTTTATTCTGGAAAATAACTTCCCCAGCTTCCCTCACAATTATGTAAGGTTTCGTTCCCATAATATACCCCTTCCTCCATTGTTTTCATTGTGCTTCTACTTCTCTGGCTGAGTGGCTAGCAGAGCTCAAATCCAAGTCTTCCAGTCCTTTTCACTATTCCACAAGAAATCCAAGTTAGAGGGACAAAAACCTTGAAACCAATATCACATGAGAATGCAATACTGAACAATGAAAGCATGAAAGGAGTTGATGTTCCAACCAGGCTCTTCAAGGACTAATAGGAGGTCTACATGGGAAGGAGTTTCTAGTAAGGCACAAAGGCAAATTCTGAAGCCCATTCGGACAATTACTCTAATAAGACTACCATTTCTTGAAGTCATACTATCTCTCAACACATTAAAATATTCTCACCATCTTTGACAAAATTCACCCAAAAAGCAACATAAGGAATCTGATGTTCAAGTTAGGAAACTTGACCATGATTGTATACCTTCTAAATATCAGAGTCTGGACTCAAACACACTGCTGTGTGACTCCAAAGCCCTCTGAAAAACATGTGAAAAATGCCTCTAGCAGCAGAATGAGTTTTTAAAAATCTGA